AAGTATGTCCCTTGCTCAATTATGAATGAGGTCTTCTCTTGGTCATTGGGATCCATCCTGATCTGATTGTACCCAAAGAAGGCATTCATGAAGCTAAGGAGCTCATGTCCCGTAGTGGCATCTACAATCAAATCTATCCGGGGTAAAGGAAAACTATCTTTCGGGCAAGCACGGTTGAGGTCTGTAAAGTTAATGCAAAGACGCCATTTGCCGTTTGTCTTCTTTACTAGGACTACATTGGCTAGCCAAACTGGGTAATCCACTTCTTGAATGACTTTCGCGTGAAGGAGCTTGGTGACCTCTTCGTTGATGGCTTTCTAACGCTCCGGGGTGAAGCTCCTTCTCTTCTGCTTAATGAGCTTATAGGCTGGATTCACGATGAGCTTGTGAGTGATGANTGGCTTTCGTGTGAAGGAGTTTGCTGACCTCTTCGTTGATGACTTTTTGACGCTCCGGGGCGAAGCTCCTCCTTTTCTGCTTAACGGGCTTACAGGCTGGATTCACGTTGAGCTTGTGAGTGATGACAGAGGGATTAATCCCTTTCATGTCCTCTTGCTTCCATGCAAAAACTTCCTTGTTCCTTTTCAGGATTGGATGAGGAGATCCTTGATCTCCTTGCTCAGCTTGGACCCAACATAAACAAGATGCTCTGGCTCTTCATCAATTTGAACAGGTTCCAGCTCTTCTGATGGTGTTGGCCTGGTCTCGAGTTCATCCCTCATGTCAAGCTCATCCAATTGGATACTCTCAACCTCCTTATTTCTCATGGATTCCATGTAGCATTCTCGTGTTACGCGCTGGTCTCCTCGGACCACTCCAACTCCGTTTTCTGTTGAAAACTTCACTACAAGGTGATAGGCAGAGGGAATAGCCCTTATAGAATTGAGCGAGGGTCTTCTAAGGAGCATATTGTATGCTGAAGGTGCATTAACCACTAGGAATTTTACAGTTATTGTAGTCTGACAGGATGGGTCACCTAAGGTCAAGATGAGTTGGATTGACCCCAGGGGTAGCACCATTTCTCCTGAGAATCCCAATAGGTGGGCACTTACTGGTTCAAGCTTTTCCCTTCCTATATCCATTTTGTCGAACGCATAAACAAAAATGATGTCTGCTGAGTTGCCATTGTCAATCAAAACACGATGGATAGTCATGTTGGCCACCACAGCTCTTACCACCAAAGGGTCATCATGAGGATGTTGGCAGCCCTCCAGATCTAAATCTGAGAAAGTAATAGCCGTGTCTAAGCGTGGAGACTTAGATACAGTATATACTTCGGGAGCTTCTGTGGCTCTGATTTTTCTCAAGTGGGCCTTTCTAGCAAAGCTGGACCCTCCTCCTCCGGCAAATCCTTCAGATATCACTTTGATCTCCCCCATAGGTTGCTGGTGTGGCTCTGGTGCTTGACGCTGAGGGGGTGGAGGTAGGAGAGCTCGGTTTTGATTATCATTAACCACATAGCATCGCAGCTGCCTTTGCTGAATTAGAAATTCTATTTCCTTCTTCAATTGGATACAGTCGTCAGTGTGATGACCATGGTCTCTGTGGAAGTCACAATACTTCGTAGGATCCCTTTTTTCTAGGTCTGCTTTCATCCAAGGTGGCCACCTTAAGAACTTCTCATTTTGCACCTCATATAGTATCTGAGACATCGTAGCAGTCAGGGGAGTGAGCTGTCGGGGTGCATAGCTTGGTTGTAGCTCTGGTTGTGGAGGGCCGAGGGGATCCCTGACATTTCTTCTTCTCTTCGGGGAACACTCTCTGTCTCTTCTTAGAGACCTACCTCGTTCTCTTTCCTTTCTGGGACTTCGTTCTCTCTTCTTTTCTTCCTTCCCTTTCTCCTTTCTCGAAGAAGGGCTCCCGACCTTGGAGAGGAGCGCTTCCTCACCATTTTATGTACTTTTCTGCTTTGGCAAGCACCTCCGTCATACTAGCCTNTCTCTTTCCTTTCTGGGACTTCGTTCTCTCTTCTTTTCTTCCTTCCCTTTCTCCTTTCTCGAAGAAGGGCTCCCGACCTTGGAGAGGAGTGCTTCCTCACCATTTTATGTACTTTTCTGCTTTGGCAAGCACCTCCGTCATACTAGCCTGGGGGTTCTTTGAGATGGAAAATATCAAATCTTTTGACTGAACTCTCAGACCCGCTATGAAGGCTGTATTAGCAAATTTTTCGTCTAGGACATCCACCTTCAAGGATTTTGAGTTGAACCGTTGGACATAAGACCGTAGGTTCTCATCAGGTCCCTGTTTCACATTTAACAAATGGTAGCTCGGTTTCCTATAGGTTCAAGCTCCGATGAAATGGGACACAAACGAGATTGACAACTCTTTAAAAGAGAAAATCGAGGCTGGGGGGAGTCTGTTGAACCATGCTAAGGCTGAGCCCTTTAGGGTGATAGCAAAGGCCCTGCATCTCATTGGATCTTGATATTCATGCAACTCTATTTGGTTTTTGTAGGTGTTGAGGTGGTCCACGGGACCTTTTGTCCCTTCGAAAGCATCCACCTGCGGCATTCTGAATGTAGGTGGGAGAGGGAAGTGCAGCACTCCAGTAGTGAATAAGGATTCGGTTTGCTGCACCAAGGCATCCATAGTGACTGGGGCCTTGCTCTTCACTACCTCCTTCATCTAGCTGAGCTCTTGTTGGATGTCTTGGAAACGTTGCTCCTAATGGCGTTCTCTTTTCTCCTGTTGATAAGGGAAGAAGTCGTTCCTCTCCTTTTCATTATACTGACTTTGCACTTCCTCGTTGTGACCATTCCTAGAAGGTAGGCGAGGTTCTTGCCCCAAGGTCTGACTATTCTCTCTCACCTCATTAACTTCTCTAAAGGGGTCGAGATACAGTTGCTCTCTTGATGGTGGATTATTCTGGCCTCCTTGGCTGGTCGCGCCTCCTATGGGCGTTGTAGAAGCTTTAAAAACTCTTCGTTCTATTTTATCAGACGTTCATTGACAAGACGAAGGGCCTCCATCTCGTTATTCATGGGAAGGCCCCCCATGGGGGATCGGCTTTTTGCGCGTTTTCGGGTTGTTTGCTATTTGCGGCTTCCTGTTGATCTTTCATCTGTAGAGGATTGGTCTGACTTTGGCTCATGTTTCGTGTTGATACCATCAGTCACTGAAAAATCAGCTTTATTTATAATAGGAACAGTCGTTCCCACAGACGGCACCAAACTGATGGCGTTAACGCACTTTTACAAAAGATGAGTTGGGATTACGCTAGGTTGCTAAGATGATGTCATAATATCCAGGGCTTTGGGAGTTAAGACAACAGAATTATAGTGGTTCACCAGCTTGAAAGCTCGGCTAGTCCACTCTGGAATTGAGGTTCTTGCTCTCTTTTTTTATTCACGGTGATTACAAGGTTGCTATGACTTTTTTTTGCCACTCGGGTTCTTTTTTTTTTTTTAGGGGGTGTTACCTTACATTTATAAGGTCATTCCCTGCTAAGAAGAATCTTAGTCGAGATTCTTGCCCTTATTTCGTGGGCTTCTCCTTAATTCTAGGAGAAGATCTTGGTTGGTTGAGATTGAGTGCCTTGATTACAGCTTCCTAACGCTTTAGGATCCTCTCGTGGTTATCTAGCTGTTATCTTGCCTTAAGAGACACTCGGCCCTTACCCTCTAACCTCTGCTAATGTGTCTGACCTCCTGGTCCGAGCTGACCTCCTGAGCTTAGCAGAAACAGAAACAAGCTTTGTTCAGTTATATAAAAGTTATGTTCCCAATACAAGTCCATAGATAAAAGAAAGAGAGAGATGAAGATTTTAGAAGATAGAAAACTGAGATGTCTGAATTAAGAATTGCTTCTAGAAATCAATGTTTTGAGTATGTGTTATACAATCTAATCAGTCTTTTAGGCATATTGCTCTGTACTGAGGATGGGGAATTGCATAATCGACAATATAATTTAGAGCATCTTCTTTCGAATTATAAGTTTTCGGAGAGCAAGATTAACTTTCTTAAAGCAGCGACGCCTAACCGATCTATCAACCAGAGGGTGATTTCTGAATAGTCATCCTCTAGAATACCTCACAGCCTCTAGGATACCTCTCGTCTTGGCCTTTCTTCGCTCTATCACATCACTTTGTGGTGTGATATTGTGATGGCAAGGTATAACTTGGAAAGAAGTTTATTAAATACGCATTTCTCAGTGACGATTTAAATCCAAATTTAATTTGAGCAAAAAATTCCAAAAAACTTTCTTCAATGCTATACCCAAACCTATACCAAATTAAGAGAGACTCAAATTTTTACCCAAATCAAGAGAAACACAAACCTTTACTCAAATCACAAATGATTAGATTTCATTCTCCTTTAAAGATCTAATGATCATATTCTATCCTCTTTTAAATTGGAGTTTATCCTCATTTAAATTTGAATTTGTCTTCTTTTAACTTTGATTTTCTCCGTTGGAGTACTTTGTATCAAATCAAGCTTTTTACCCATTTTTTCACTACAATTTGTGTAAGGTTTTGAGTCTCCATTGGAGAAACTCTTAGAGCATCTAACTCAAAATCAACTGGCAATGGATAGAGTAACCCCCAAGTATATAAACCAACTTTAGTGGTTCATATTATTCGGTGATACAAACACACTTAACAGTGTCAATTGGTAATGTTTCTGCATAAACATCTATAATCTCAACACTATTCAACAAAATCTTGTCAGAATTATTTTGGATTCTCACATGCACACATATAGCCATGTATGTTATTTTCTTTAAACAATATGCACCAAACACAATATCAATAGGCACAACCAAGTATCCCCTCCTTGCTTATGTTCACCTTTCCCTTTTAAATCTCATTCACTTTCATTTCTTTTTCTAGCTTTCACCCATTCATGAACCCAAATATTTGACGTGGGAGAATTTTTAGTTTGCACAGAATTGACAATTTTTAACATGAGCTACTAACAGAGAATGAAGTTAGTAGATATACAGTTTCATGTCATAATCAAGTTGATTTGTCAGAGCCATTTAATAAATGGTATGATACAATTCCGACTGCATACTACTTGTCTATCACATTGCACAATCCCAATTAAAAACAACTATCAATGGATCAAGTAGGACTCGTACAAATTTTAACATGACATAAATTAGATGCGACATGAACCATTCCTTGGTTTAATCGCATACAAGCTTTAGCCAGAAATTGGCCTTCACATTCATTTCTATCACGAAAATTGCAAGAACAAAAAATCAAACTTTATAAGTCTTTCCAGTTGAGAGGTAATCAGTTTCTTGCATACCCTATTAATGTGCAGTGACTTAGTAACCAGCCGGAAAACCACCCTTTCTCGGGTCACTCACTGCCACGAGCCTACTAGAGTTTGAATTCTCCGACTCCAGAACTACAAATGTGCAAATAGCCCAACCAGTAGCAGCTCGTAATTTATGGCCCTTCTTTTTTAGGACTGCCCTTGTCTGCGCAGGAGCTTCATACTGGTCACCAATTACAGACTTATAACTCTCATAGTACAGCACATTGGGATATAGCTGCAAAAAGGATATTAAGTCGGAGTAAGAAATCAAGTATCTAGTTACCTTGTTATTGGCAAAGAGTGAAAAGAAAAATGGTTAGGAATATCACCAGGTGATAATATCTTGGAGCCATGACAGAGAAAAGTGGATCCTTTCCCTTGACAAAATGATTTTGGAATACTTGTATTATAGCTGCAGGTATACTTGATCCTCCAGCTGCACCTATAACAGCCTTCAAGCGTCCACCCTGCAAAGGCATATGTCTTAAAAAAAAGCTACATAAAGCTACAGAAGGAAGAATGAATTGATACACCATATGGTAGAGAGCCTATAAATCATTCTTTACAACGAACACTCAATAATATAGAGGGATGGAAAACAAAGAGTGCATGGAAAATATTAAATATCACTATAAGAAATTGTACTTTTAGCCGCTAAATTTAAATTACAGCTAAAAATGTTGTCACTAAATATATACCTTTAATGACAAAAAATTATTATGGCCACTGAGGATATGATATTCAAATTATTTAGTGATCATAATTATTTATCACCATTAAAGATATATAACTAGTGGTGAAAAATAATTATTGCCACTGAAGATATGATAGTAAATATAATTAGTGACAATTTGAATGTTGCGNATGAAAAATTATTATTGCCACTGAAGATATGATAGTAAATATAATTAATGACAATTTGAATGTTGCAGCAAAAAATACATCACTAATTCGCCACTAATTCCAAATATTCAGTGACAACAATTTAAATTTACTCACTAATTAAATTTAAATTTTTAGTGTTAAAAAATAATTATTGTCACTATATATAATATAATAAATTTAATGAGTGACAGTTTTATTGTCATGGCTAAAAGCTAATTATTTGTCATTATTTTTTGATGAAAAAAAAATTTAGTGGCAACAATTTTTTTTATCACTAATTATTTTTAGTCACTACACTATTTTTACTGCGGCTGATTCTCAGCACGCCCATGTTTTTTTTGCCTGAAACCTTATATCTCAGTTCGCATATACTCTCCCTCTCTCTCTCTCTCTCTCTCTCCCTCTCTCTCACACACGAGCTCAGTGATCGGCTAGGGCCTTATCTCTCTCAACCTCTCGGTGATTGCAGAGCAGATCTGAAGAAGACGAAGCTATTCAGTAATGGAGTTTTACGAATTGCCTTAGTAAGCTCCTCTCTCTACTCTCTCTTTTGCTTCTCTGTTCTCTATCGAACATTGATTTGTGTTTTTTGTGTTTGTTTTTCTGCAACTATATTCCTTTACCATTTGTCTAATTGTTTTCGGTAAATTAGCTAAACAGATGACTCTTTTGATGAAATCAGTTGATGCCTTTGTTTTTTTATTGTTCCAATCTGTTATTATTCAGTTTGATTTCTAGTTTATCGGTANTTTTATTGTTCCAATGTGTTATTATTCAGTTTGATTTCTAGTTTATCGGTACGTTAAAATTATTTATCCAAGGAGTTTAACGCACAATCACGTCAAAAAATGATGGGCTTAAATATAGATTTAGAACATCTATCGAAAGATGAACTCCATTTAAACCTTCATTTCAACAAGGAATTTGTTTTTGGTTTGAAGAAGTTTATGAAATGAGGAAGCAGAAGATAGAACATAAGATTAGCGGTTTTATCAGGACTAGGAATTTAGAAAACTCAAACAAATTCAAATTGGCCTTGTATATTTCATATTCTCAACTGAATCCCAATTTTCTCAATTGGAGCACACCTGTTCAGGTCTAATTTAAGGGAAAAATCAAGGCCTATGCATTCGATTCAAGGAATGGGTAGTCTGTGTACCCAACAATAGTGTCAGATGTGTAAAAAGTGCTTCTGTCATACTGGTTGAGGAAAGCAGTGAGTTCAAATCTTTTAGGCAAATCTGGGATTATGTGGTTTTTCTTTATTTGAGTTGGTTTTATACTTTTTTGATATTTGTATGTGTGATTGGCCAAACTGTTGGACTTTGTTTTTTGGAGTCTCAGTGTGTTGAATTGGAATCTCATATTGTGTTTTAGTGTATCGTTTTTTCGTTGCTCGAGTGTTTTGATCTTAGTGTTTCCATGTTATGCTCTGTTTGGTTCTAAAAACGAGATGGGGAGTGTTTGCTTTGGATTTCCAGTTGTAGTCTTGTTCATACATAGATAGAGTGGTGTTCTTTTGTTGCTGTTGATCCTATACATGTTTGTTAGATGATGTTGGACAGCTGTTTTAAGAATATGAGAACAGTGGAGTTGGGAAAAGGATTTCAGATGATGAAAACTATGGAAATTTGATGGATTTAGATAGTTAGGATTTGTTCGGAGCTCAGAAAATACATGGGAAGGAAAAGGAAATTGGATTCGAAATTATTTTTCTTTTCTTGGTACCCATTGGAAAACAAGGTAGAAATGTTAAATTAGATGTTTCCGTATATTCTTATTAATTCCCAACTCTATTTGGGTCTTAGCTTCTAATTTTGTGAAATATTAAGGATATCATCTTCCTACATTTTTTTCTATATATAAATAATGCATTTACTATAGGGATTATGTGGTTCTTTGTTCAATTTTGTTAATTTACTACAAGGATTCCTCTTATTCTTCGGGATAGGGTAGGGACTGATGGATAAGACTTGGATGGGGATTAGGGATAGACGACACTCTAAATACCTGGAAGGAGTTAAAAAATTCATGGAGTTTGCTTTTGCCCACACTGAACCTGGGAAAATGATACGTTGTCCGTGTGTGAAATGCAATAACGTTTATTTTCAAACTCATGATGATGTGGAAACTCATTTGTATTACAATGGTATAGTCAAAGATTACATTACGTGGGTATTTCGTGGGGAAGAGTTTGAGTTGAGCAGCGGCGATGATGATGATGAGCTTGACGAAGAAGATAAAAATGATCACGATGACATGCAAGAAATGATTTATGAACATTACACTGCAGCAACTGTTAATGCTTGGGAAGGAGAGAATTCGAACATTACTGGGAATGCAGTGCCTGATTGGGAAACAAATAAATTTATAAGATTATTGAAGGATGCTAACCAACAGTTGTATCCTGATTGCAAGAAGTTCACCAAGTTGTCATTCACTCTGAAGTTATTGCACCTAAAAGTACTAAATCGAGTGAGTAATAAAATGTTTAGTATGATGCTCGAGCTATTTAANTTCTGAAGTTATTGCACCTAAAAGTACTAAATCGAGTGAGCAATAAAATGTTTAGTATGATGCTCGAGCTATTTAAGGAGGCACTTCCTGATGGTGAGACACTCCCTAGCTCCTATTATGAGGCTAAAAAGATCATTCGTGACATGGGGCTTGACTATACAAGGATTCATGCTTGCAAAAATGACTGCATGTTATTTTGGAAGGAGCACAAAGATAAACAAGAGTGTATAGAATGCAAAGAGCCTAGATATAAATTTGATGATGGAAAACGAAAGCAGATTTCTCAAAAAATCTTACATTATTTCTCACTAAAACCAAGGCTACAAAAGTTATTTGTTTCAAAGAAGATAGCATTAGATATGCAGTGGCACATAAAGAAACGCGTCGATGATGGTTTGCCGAGGCATCTAGCTGACACAGAAGCCTGGAAAGAATTTGAAAAAATGCATGAATCCTTTGCCCAAGATCCTCGTAATGTTAGGCTTGGGCTAGCAAGTGATGGATTCAATCCATTTTCAAACATGAGCACTAATTATAGCATATGGCCTGTTGTTCTTGTTTCATATAACCTACCACCATGGAAATGTATGAAGGATCCCTTTTTCATTATGTTAATGCTAATTTCAGGACCCAAATCTCCAGGAAATGACATTGATGTATATTTGCAGCCATTGATAGAAGAGTTGAAAGAGTTGTGGAAAGATGGTGTTCAGACTTATGATGCCTTCACTGGTGCCAATTTTGTATTGCATGCTGCAGTTATATGGACTATAAATGACTTCCCAGCATACGGCAACTTATCAGGATGGAGTACTAAAGGATTTTTGGCTTGTCCTACCTGCAATAAGGAGACGTCATCTATGTGGCTAAAGAATGGAAAAAAGATTTGTTACATGGGTCATCGACGCTTTTTACCAATCGATCATGTATGGCGACATAAAAAGAATTCTTTTGATGGAAAAAAANTGGAAAAAAGACTTGTTGCATGGGTCATCGACGCTTTTTACCAATCGATCATGTATGGCGACATAAAAAGAATTCTTTTGATGGAACAAAAAAACTTCGAGAGGCACCGATATCTCTTTATGGAGATGATGTGCTTGAGCAATTGAGTCAAATCAAAACAGTAAAATTTGGGAAGACAAAACCAAAGAAAAGGAAGCGTGACGGGCAGTTAAATTGGACAAAATATAGTATTTTCTTCAAATTACCTTATTGGAAAACCCTTAAACTGTGACACAATTTGGATGTCATGCACGTGGAGAAAAATTTGTGTGATAGTATTCTGGCTACTTTAATGAACATTGATGGTAAAACAAAGGACAACATCAAGACTTGTCTTGACTTGCAAACCATGGGTATAAGGCATCAATTACACATGAAGCTTGATGGTAGTTCCTATAAAATGCCTCCAGCATGCTACACAATGTCCATGACTGAAAAAAAGAATTTTTGTGAGTTCCTGGCTTCTGTGAAATTCTCAGACAGCTACGCTTCAAACATATCAAGATGTGTGAATAATAAGGAATGTCAAATTGTTGGCATGAAGAGTCATGATAGTCACGTACTTTTACAACGGTTACTCCCACTTGCAATACGTGGATCTTTAACTGATGATGTGTCTGAGGCACTAATTGAGATTTGCCATTTTTTTGAGGAGTTGTGATCAAGGACGTTGAAAAAATATGTGTTGGAGCGGCTTGAAAGCCTGATTGTCGTAACACTTTGCAAGCTAGAAAGGATATTTCCACCTTCATTCTTCGATATTATGGTGCATTTGGTGATTCATCTCGTGCGGGAGGCAATTCTCGCTGGACCAGTGCAATACCGATGGATGTATCGGATTGAAAGGTAGTGTCTTTTGATACTCTTAATGTAAATGATATGCTTGTGATGTTGAATCATATCACTCTTTTTTTTGTGTTGTTAGGTACTTACATACATTGAAGTGTTATGTGAGTAACAAAGCTTTTCCAGAAGGGTCAATTGCAGAAGGCTATCTTGCAACAGAATGCCTGACGTTTTGTTCAATATACTTGCATGGGATTGAGACAAGATTCAATAGAGTAGAGAGAAATTATGATGGAAGTAACAAACAAATGCATCAAGGGTTGTCAATTTTTTCCCAGAATTGTCGTGCATTGGGAAGGGAGACTATGGTTATATTGATGACAGAGCTTGGCAGCAGGCTTGTATCTATGTGTTGAAAAACTGTGATGAAGTTTTGCCCTTTCTTATGTAAGGAAATTATCCAAATGCATTTGATGAAATTTGTTTCTCTCCCATTGCCAAGCAATTCTTATTCCTTATTATCGTGTTTAGTGAACACAGAAAGGAGATAGAACAAGAGTCTCTAAGGAATGTTCAAAAGAGGCATGAAGAAAGGTTTCCTAAATGGTTTGAAGATCATGTAAGTGTTATATAATTCATATTATTTTCACACAATATATTACTACATCATACTAATTACTTCGTTCATGATTATAAACAGGTTACAGAATTGTGCAAGCAAGAGAATACACATGTCAACAATCAACTTCTAAACTTAGCACGAGGCCCGGACAAAAGAGTGACAAGATATAAGGCTTACATCATTAATGGTGTGCCATTTCATACAAAAGACCGTGAGATGCATCGAAAAACTCAAAATAGTGGTGTGGTCGTAAAGGGAGATGACGAAACAGGAAACAGAGATTACTATGGTGTCTTGACAAATATAATTCAATTTGATTATTTTGGGGACAATAAATTTTTTTTTGTTCGAATGTGATTGGTGGGACGTTGGCAACGAAGGTAGAGGAATTCAAACAGATAAATATGGCTACACTAGTGTCAATATCACAAGAAAGTGGAATACCAATTAGCCATTTGTGCTAGCATCTCAAGCAGAACAAGTTTTTTATGTCCAAGACTTGAAGTTAGGCAGTAATTGGAAAGTAGTGGTAAGGACACAAGCTTGAGACTTGTATGATATACCTGCTAAAGAAGATGAGGAGACAGTCTTGGATGATGGGCCCTACCAACAAAATGAGTCATCCAATGTAGCTGACACATGGAAAGCTAGTGATAATGATTTAGTGTGGCAACGGGATGATATTCCTCCAGTACCTATTGATTCAAATCTTGTAATGCATGAGGAAGAGGGTGCTGAGCATATTGACACTTTCATCAGTGATGAAAGTGAAGAGGATTCTCCTTTTATGGATTCTAATACCGAGGAAGATGAAATGAACACTGATGATGATAGTGAGACTAATAGCTTGATGTAGTTTGATGCATACAATTTGTTCTGAGCTGGAATGTACTGGTTTGCTATCTTGGTTCTCCTGATTTAATATCAGCATTTGAATCCTTCTTCATCTAATTGCTCGATATTTACTCTGTGGTAGTTCAATTTATCCTTTTTTTTTAAGAACATTTTCTAATTTCATCTAGTAGTGCAGGATAGACTCTAGACATGACTAGTAGAATCCGAGGAAGAGGTGGCCGAGAAGAAGGTTGCATAGAGCAAGCCTCACAGGTAGAGCAGTCTACATTAGAGTCAAGGCCTTCTGAGCCTAGACAGGTTGAGACATCTGGGAAGAGAGGACGGGGGAAAACTAGAGGTATAACATTTGCAAAAAAGAGACGTGCAGAGGAGAAGCCAGAGGTGTATATTCCTCCAAAACTGATGCGAGCTGTCAGCAACAATGCCCAACAATTAATCACTGAGTTGGGCATTATTGTCAGGCAGATGGCCCCACTGCAATTTCCCAAATGGAAGGCCATCCCAATTGATGATAAGAAGAAGATGTGGTATGCTTCGAAGGTAAGTAATTTAGATGAAGAAGACACCATGTAATCTTGTGGTTTTTTCATTGGCATTAGATCTTACATCATTTGTTTACTTTCTTATGTAATATTGTGCAGCAAAAGTTCACTCTCAAAGAAGACCCTTGCATTGAGGAAGCTATATACCAGCAGCTAAATCGGCAATATAGGGACCATCGACACAGGCTGCATAAGAATTATTATTGTAAATATGCCAATGATGAGATTAGACTTCAAAATTGTCCGCCGGATGTGAGCCCGAATTGCTGGGCTACTCATTGGTTATTTTGGATCTGTGGACTTCAAGGTATGCACACTAATTTCATTTTATATCTTCATATGTTGTTTTTTCTGTCTTAAAGAACTATCTATTCTTGTAAAAAGAGTTTGTTGGAGTATTTTTCTTGGTAATTTTTTTTTATGTCATCATGCCGCACTACTGGCTTTTGTATTCAACTTTTTTATATGAAAGACAACAAGCTGAAACTTGCTTTGGACTGTGTTGGACTTTTATATGTGTTGGACTGTGTTATGAAGTGTTGGACTTTTATATTTGTTGTACTGTGTTATGAAGTGTTTGGTTTATGAAGTTTGAATTGGTTTCTTGATGAGGTTGCACCTTTCAATTACTTTGATTCTATTCTACAGTTATTTTCTATCAGATTTTTAGAACAGACTTCTAGTCCCCCTATATTGGTATCTGGTGGATTAAAATTGAGTTTAATTAATTCAAAAGGGAAAGAATGATGAAAAAAGCAGTGCAACATTGGTTTGAGTTGAATTTTCTTCGTCTTGGTGGGCTTTTTTGTTGCATGTTTGTGTTGGAATGATTGAGATGCTGGGACTGCACAAATTTATTTGAGAATTGTTTCTCAGGTTTTGATGAGCGTACATACATGGAGATGATTATGTTTGATATCCCTTTAAACCAAGTGATTGCGGATATAACAGAATATGAATTTGAAGTGGTTGTTGGGATACCATCATGGATGTTTAGAATTGTTTCTCAGGTTTTCTTGGTAATTATGGCTATTGTTATTTGGACAGGTAGCTTGAAACTTGCTTTTAATTCTTGAATGCAAAAAATGAGTGAAAGAAACAAGGAGAACCGAGCAAAACAAGACATGGGTCATATTGCAGGGACGAAGAGTTTCGCTCGAATTAGTTACGATAGCGCGAGTTGTTTTTTAAATCTATATTTCACTTATGTGATTAATTATATACATGTATACATGCATATTTATGTAAAAATTTTCTATTAATGTTTAATGCATGATAGCGTAATCCCGAGATTGGAGAGGAGCCTAACCGTACGGAACTGTGGTTAACAACCAAGTTTAGTATGAAGAGGAATGCTTGGGCTGGCAGGAGATCGGGAGAAGTCTATGTAAGTTATCTTATCCTTCTCCATTTCCTTGAAATATCTTCTTACATAATGGTAAATTATAATCTTTCCAAATGTAGAGCGACCTTAAGAGGCTAGAGGCTCAATCAATGGAGGAAGGAGCTNGATCCTGAGATTGGAGAGGAGCCTAACCGTACGGAACTGTAGTTAACAACCAAGTTTAGTATGAAGAGGAACGCTTGGGCTGGCAGGAGATCGGGAGAAGTCTATGTAAGTTATCTTATCCTTCTCCATTTCCTTGAAATATCTTCTTACATAATGGTAAATTATAATCTTTCCAAATGTAGAGCGACCTTAAGAGGCTAGAGGCTCAATCAATGGAGGAAGGAGCTACCCCCATGGCTAAGGATCAGAGGTTTGAAGCAGTGCTCGGTCCGGAAAAATCAGGATATATACGTGGTCGTGGGGCTGGTCCAAAGCCCACAACATCTACAGTTGGACAGTGCATCCGTGCACAACTAGAGAAGGAGAATGAGGAATTGAAGAGGCAAGTTGAAACAAATAGGATGCGTTGGAGAAGGAAAACAGTGATATGGCTTCTCGACTAGAGTCCTTAGAGTCCAATATGCATGTTGAGATACAAACACAGGTGCATGTCGTTCTTCAAACTCAACTCACCACATTTTTTCAGCAAATAAAAGAGTCGGGGCAAATTCTTACCTCTCTTCATTGTGATAAGGTAAGATCTCTTAAATTGGAAAAGTTCTATTTCATGGGTTAGTAATCTTACTTTTATGTAGTCTTGATATATAATATCTTTACATTTAAATTGAGTAAACTAGTTATCTTTATATTTCAGTGACATCTCTTGAGCTGGTATAATATCTTTACATTGAGTAAACTAGTTATGTAGTCTTGATATATATTTGAATCATCTCCAATNATATAATATCTTTACATTTAAATTGAGTAAACTAGTTATCTTTATATTTCAGTGACATCTCTTGAGCTAGTATAATATCTTTACATTGAGTAAACTAGTTATGTAGTCTTGATATATATTTGAATCATCTCCAATATGTCTTCTCTTGATTTTTTTCATTGAATTTCTATTAATGTTGGGTAATTTATGTTAGGTACAAACTAGTGGAAGCTCTGAAAACAGCTTTGGAAGGCTCGCCTCCAAAGACTAAACACAATTTGAAAACATGATCATAATTTTGTTGTTTTTCTTGTAAACAATTTATGTTCTTGCTTCTTGTAATTCTTGAATTTCATTTNAAAGCTATGAAAACAGCTTTGGAAGGCTCGCCTTCAAAGACTAAACACAATTTGAAAACATGATCATAATTTTTTTGTTTTTCTTGTAAACAATTTATGTTCTTGCTTCTTGTAATTCTTGAATTTCATTTAATAAAATTCTTCTTTTTCTTACAAAAAAAAAAAATTGAACTACATCCAAGATATTAATGTTGTTATATGCTAGTTGATTTTAGGCTTTTCATTGTTTTAAATTTTAGTGGTGATTTTAGGCTTTTCATGTTTCAAATTTTAATGGTGATTTTAATTGTGGGTAAAATATATACTTTTAGCCGCAATTAATTGTTGTCACTAAAGTTAAGTTTTAATCGGACTTTTAGTGGTGATATAATACATTTTAGTGACAAAATTTAGTTTACTTGCTACAATAATTATAGTGGCTAAAAATTTTACATTTAGTGGCATTTTTCATGGTGTAANGGACTTTTAGTGGTGATATAGTACATTTTAGTGACAAAATTTAGTTTACTTGCTACAATAATTATAGTGGCTAAAAATTTCACATTTAGTGGCATTTTTCATGGTGTAACTAAAAAATTTACTTTTAATGACAAGTCANAGACTTTTAGTGGTGATATAATACATTTTAGTGACAAAATTTAGTTTACTTGCTACAATAATTATAGTGGCTAAAAATTTTACATTTAGTGGCATTTTTCATGGTGTAACTAAAAAATTTACTTTTAATGACAAGTCAATGTCATAGCTAAATGATTTAGCCACACATATTGTCGCGGCCTAGTGACAATAAAAATATTGTCACTAAAGTATATAGTGACAATTTTTATGTATTTAACCGCAATAATTTTTGTGGCTAAAAGGTCATTTTCTTGTGGCGTATGTACCAATGTTCACATTTAATAACATGTGTCACACCACTGATTTGTCACCTAAATTGTCCCAACCAAATTACAAGCAAAAGCATGAATAGATCCACAAATGATGCACCATAGGCATGAAAAGTCAAAAAAAAAAANATTTAACCGCAATAATTTTTGTGGCTAAAAGGTCATTTTCTTGTGGTGTGTGTACCAATGTTCGCATTTAATAACATGTGTCACACCACTGATTTGTCACCTAAATTGTCCCAACCAAATTACAAGCAAAAGCATGAATAGATCCACAAATGATGCACCATAGGCATGAAAAGTCAAAAAAAAAAAAAGAGTTGAACAGCATAGGATGCATAAAAAAATTTTGAGAAACCAAGCTATCATAACTACCCAGGTAAGGGTGGTATTGCATGAAAGTGGTTTCTTGTTGTATTTATTGTTCAATTTTTTTGTGAACCTTGTCAATTGAGATATGTAGGTGGTAATTGGTGTAAAAATATGGGGACCTAATCACCAGTAAACCCCGTCATTTTTAAATAATGAGACCGACACAACTCAAGCAGATTGAACTCAAAAGCACAAAAGAACAGCCTATATTACCTTCAAGATAATGGTAGGTGCCATGGACGACAATGGCCTTTTGGATGGACGGATAAAATTGGCAGGTGCCGGTCGTGAAACAGTTGTAGTAGGGATAGAGAAATCATCCATTTGATTGTTAAGGACTATCCCTGTACTTGGTGACAGAAATTTCGACCCAAAGTATGAATTTATACTGGCAGTCATGGAGACAACATTTCGCTCACGATCTACTATGCATAAATGAGTGGTGCCATGATCATGGAGTTGATCCCACCTAGTAAGAAGCCAAGATTCAGTACAAATGATAAGTAGGGCACTAAACACATGGATAGTGCATGTAGGGAAGAACATGATCACCAGTATGATTTTTGTTTTTTTTGGGGGATGGGGAGGGGGAGGGGGAAGAGAACTTGAATCCTTGACCTTAAAAAGGTAAAATCTTTACAAAACAAGGAGTACCATTAGACTAAGGTCCTTGGTTTGGCTCACCAATATGATTAGTTAGGCTATTAATGCCGATAGGTCTTCCACACGAGTCAGGATCTTCACATTGAGAAGATAAATCCTAACAAAGCAGTTAAAGGACCAAAGAATTTGAATTTCTCTTGTCTAGATGATATATGTTGGGGACATTTAACACGCAGCAGTTGAATATTGAAGAATGATTTACAATCATCCCGCCCTTTTTCCCTGAAATTATTAAGAAACCAAAGGTCTGCGATGTTGCGATGATTAGGCACAATGAGGCAGAATTTGGTAGAATAAATATTTATGCAGCAGCTGACATATATAACTCCATGCATGTAAAGAGCAGTTTGCGTACGTGAAGATGACTTCTGTCCCACATCAGAAAGTGGGGCCACCCCAGGTTGTTTTGTATGATTGAGGAGCATTTGCACCTATTGTGAATTGGCTTTGGGTTGTATGTTCTAATACGGTATTAGATTTGTGCCTTGGATGGTTAGTGGATAATTGGATATAGTCCATTTGAAATCCATATATGCTTGTCTGTGTTGTTTCAGTCATTGTTCGAGGTTGCAGGATCAGCTATCAACTTGGGGGGCACATAAATGCATTGGTTGTGGCGTCTTCACCCTTTCTGGTTTGGGTTGGATGGTCCAACAGTAGATACAATCCTACTAACAGGATGCATGGAGTATATAAGGAACATACAAGTTCATAGGAACAGGCTTTCAACTCAAAAAGATCAAAGAGTAACATGAGAAACGATAAAAGCTAGCTTTTTTTGATAGATCAATAAAAGCTAGCTGGAGACCAGATAAATTGCAATAAGGCATATAATCTATCAAATGATTGATTCCATTGCTAACTACGCTTCTTACTTGCCACCATAATGGTCAGAGTCATAGGTCCTATTGTCGTCTATAGTGTTCTTCAACCTTGCTGCAAAACTTGAAGAGAGCATAGAAGATAGAACCTTCCTAGCATCGACAAAGTCAGGATCACCAAGGCCCATCCTAGTAGCAAGTGCATATTTCAAAGCCTCAATTACACGGTGGATCCCAAGGGAGCCAGAAACACCCGAACGACGTCCATATTGAGCGAGAATTTTAAGCATCTGTGTTAGTACAAGAAGCGCAGCATCATATGAGCCTGTTTGANGCCCATCCTAGTAGCAAGTGCATATTTCAAAGCCTCAATTACACGGTGGATCCCAAGGGAGCCAGAAACACCCGAAGGACGTCCATATTGAGCAAGAATTTTAAGCATCTGTGTTAGTACAAGAAGCGCAGCATCATATGAGCCTGTTTGAAAGCAATAAACAAAGAAACCGAGGGGAAAGCTGAACACAAATGACGAGATGCACTTACAAGTATAACTTCTGCTCCCCCAGAAGCAGGAGGTGGAACAGTAAATATTTTAAACCCCTGAACATTTGCAACAATTGGTTCCCTAAACTTAACTTGATAGCTCTGCAAGTCCTCCATTGTTAGTATCCCACCAGCTTTCCTAATATCTGTTACCAGACTATTGCCAATTGATCCATTATAAAAGGCTGCCACACCATATTTCGAAATTTCAGAGAGCGTATTTGCTAGATTTATGTTGCGGATCACATGGCCAGGAAGCAAGAGGCTCCCCCGAGGTGCATATATCTCACAAAGTCCCTTATCTGCCTTGATACGTGATTCTGCACTTATCATTTGTTTGTATAAATATGAGGAAACTTTGAATCCTCTACGAGCAAGATTCTCAGCCAGCTTTACAAGCCTCTTCCATGGAAGCTTTCCATATTGTTTCCATGCTGCATAAAGACCTGCAAGTTGCCCTGGAACAGCTATGGAGAGGGCACCAGTACTCATTTGAGAATGATTGCCAGCATACATGTTCTAAAAAGGAGAGTTAAAGAATGAGCTGAGACAGTTTTGCCAAATGGGAAATGCGTTACAGCTTCTTAGTCTAGCAAGTACTATATATAAGGAGATGAGAGTCATGAGACTAATAAGCTAGAAAGCACCAGCAGGATACCATGGCAGTGGCGGACACATGCTCGACATGGTTAAAAATATCTTGAATAGTAAATTTATTTATTTTTTCAAGCGGACCTTGCTAGGACACAACTAAGACATGACGATGATTAATTTTTTAATCTCACGACTACTACCTATTAAGAGAGGTGTATGATTTCTTTATTTTGTTTTAATATTTTTTGTTATGTAACTTATGGACTTATAATTTTAATTGATGTAGTAATGTTTTATAAAAATGGTGGATATTAATTTTGATTTATTTCAATTTTAATCAAAAAANATTTTTTGTTATGTAACTTATGGACTTATAATTTTAATTGATGTAGTGATGTTTTATAAAAATGGTGGATATTAATTTTGATTTATTTCAATTTTAATCAAAAAATTAATAATTGATAGGTGTAATTATTAATATTGTTATAAAATATGCTTGATTTCTAAATTTAATATATTACGATTCTATCATTATTTAAAAAAAAAGAATATAATATTAGTTTAGTTAGTTATATCTTTATTATACATGTGTCATATTTTCAAACTTTATCGTATTTTTATATCCGTATCATAGCAAATATAACAACTGTATTCATATCCGTACTTCCAAGATAACAAGCAAGCTATATAAGTTGATTAGACGTGAACTTAACGAAATTTGAGTGCTATCTTATGATTAGACGTGAACCTAGCGAAATCTGAGTGCTATCTTACTTTTAATGACATCAAACATATACAGAGACTTCTTTAGTAGTCAGCATATCCAGCATGCAGAAAATAGAAATTATATACCCTTTTCAGTCAGCAAGAACATTGCTATCTAAACCATTTAATCATCCAAATGGAATGAAACAGCATGGCAAAAAATAACTGAAATCAGATGGGGAAACTACCCCAGCTGGGCTCAAGTTTGGATATTGTGGATCTTCCACGAAAGTCTATACATATTCGAACCCCTTTTCTGGTATTCATATGCACATGCATAAAAAGAGAAGGGACAATTGATGGAATAGATCTATGATATAATATTGACCTGGATACAAACTATGCACGGGACATTTAATTGGATCAACGCTAGTAGGATCTAATTCAATACAGTAATTGAATTAGTTATGAGTTCCAATATCAGATGGAGAGCTGCATTGAATTAGGTCCCTAGATTTAGTTCTAAAATTAAGTCCAAATAGTAATTTCCTATGCATTGAAGTTTGCCAAATAGAAAAAGAAATGAGCCCTTGCCTCTTTCCCCCACCTCAAAGGCACTGCTTGTTGGTTTTGTCCTCGAAGAAAATTGGTTTAAATTAAGGAGCATAATCAATGTCAAAAAGAAATTCAAAATTAAAAGTAAGAAGGCCCCAAAAATGGGTGGGTCATTAGTACTTGAGTTTAACATCCATACACGTCTACCTGGGACGCCTGCTTCGGGGCAGTTTCTCTCATGTCAAAAACCTTCACCTCCCCACTGGATACCTTGACAAGCATAAATCCACCACCACCAATGCCACTTGAAGCTGGGCTCACAACGCCCAAGCAAAGTGCAGCAGCTACTGATGCATCCACAGCATGACCTCCTTCACGAAGAACATTTTCCCCAATTTTGGAGCATCGGGTAGTGTCAGTAGCAATGACACCAGAACGTGCCGAGATTATCTCACCTCTGGTGAGAGCATTTGCAAGGCTTGATGTGGAAGACAATACCAACATGGAAAGAAATGCAGTGGTAGACCAAGGCACAAAAGAAGCTACAAACAAAAGTGGTTTTCAGTTTCCACAATCAACGATCCTTAAGAGGCTCAACTAAGCAATACAGAATAAAGCAACTTCTGGGATATAAGGATGACATCTAATCTTTGAGACCATACTTGAATAAGAAGAGTAGTGGCGCATGTGCGTGGATTCCCTTTTACATTCTAGTTTAAGCTTCTAGAAACTCTACATTTCCAAATCGAAGAAAAAGTGATTTTTAAAAGGACAGAGACCATCTTTAACACACTTATCCCCTAAGAAAGACATATTAGATGTCTATGAAGAAAAACATTCATTTATCATTGAAATCATGTGTTAACAAAAAATTATAATTCGCTATGAGAATGATATGCTTGATAAAAACAAGACGCTACTCATACTGTAAGACTGGAGATGCATGTCGCCATCAGTCTACTTAAAATCAGGACACCTCATAATTCCTCACCCCATGTTAAAATGATTTACTTAGCATTTCAGGCAGTCTCAGTTGATCTGTTCATCAGATTGGGCTACTTCCTTATGATAGACTACTGGAGAACGAAAACAACTATTATTAATTTTTAGTTTTACTTTCTACGAGGAAAAATATATCATATTGACAGATCTAACAGGAAGTTTAAAACTCACTTGTGGTGTATGTATATTCTCAAGAACCAAGGATCAAAATTTTGTTTTGAAACAGTCAAAATGTCTAAAATGTTTCCATTTTCAAAGAGATTAAAACAAATCAGTGATGAAATCAAAATTCTAATACTTCGAGGTATTTCATAGTGTTTCAACACAATTGTTTTGGAAAAATAATTGTTACATTTTTTATTTTTTTTCATTTTATTTTTGAAAACAGGTTGAAACATTTTTGAAACACTTCGAAATGTTTCTTAGGTGACCGAAACANGTATATTCTCAAGAACCAAGGATCAAAATTTTGTTTTGAAACAGTCAAAATGTCTAAAATATTTCCATTTTCAAAGAGATTAAAACAAATCAGTGATGAAATCAAAATTCTAATACTTCGAGGTATTTCATAGTATTTCAACACAATTGTTTTGGAAAAATAATTATTACATTTTTTATTTTTTTTCATTTTATTTTCAAAAACAGGTTGAAACATTTTTGAAACACTTCGAAATGTTTCTTAGGTGACCGAAACAATAACCGAAATTAAATTTTGATCCTTGTCTAGAACAAAAAAGGGTTAACAATTAAGAGAACATGATAACATATTCTATGTGTTAACATGGACAAAGTATGCAAAGTCGAAGAAACAAAAGGTACAAGCTTAAGAAGAAGCCATCTCATTAAAAGTTTTGTAAAAGAAAAAAACCCCTCATAACAGGCTTGTGCTTTGAGTTTTTACCATAGACACACATTATTGCACGCCAAAGTGGAAAAAAAGGCTTGTTTTTGTCTAACAGAGCGGCTAACAACCTTTTCTTTATAGAGTGTCATCATTTTCATTGTTATTCTTTATATATAATAGAGTAGATAAGCCATATTTATTCCAAATATATCTTCTAGTGGATTATATTATTCCTTTTCGTTTTTAGGGTAAATGTATTAAATTGTACCAAAATTATAATCTGGCTCCTTTACACATAACTTGATGTACCATAAAAGCGNGATAGAGTAGATAAGCCATATTTATTCCAAATATATCTTCTAGTGGATTATATTATTCCTTTTCGTTTTCGGGGTAAATGTATTAAATTGTACCAAAATTATAATCTGGCTCCTTTACACATAACTTGATGTACCATAAAAGCGTTTGACTTTCTTCAAACATTTATGCCATGACATTGAAAGAATAGTGGCCTTCCTCCACAAACTATTTTAGGTTTGTACTCCCAAACACCTTTAAAATACCAAACTTCCCTATATAAAATCACCAAGATATAAAAAATATAGTTGGCACAATTTCCCCAGAATGTTCCATCCTTACAATTGCAGCCTATGAAGTTACAAAGTATGCAAAGCCGAAGAAACAAAAGGTACAAGCTTAAGAAGAATCCATCTCATTAAAAATTTTGTCAAAAAAAAAAAAAAACCCTCATAACAGGCTTATGCTTTGAGTTTTTAGTATAGACACATTATCGCACGCCAAAGTGAAAAAGAAAGTTTGTTTTTGTCTAACAGAGCGACTAACAACCTTGTCTTTATGAAGTGTCACTATTTTCATTGTTATTCTTTAAAGAATAGAGTAGATAAGCCATATTTACTCGAAATATATCTTCAAGCGAATTTTATTATTCCTTTTCGTTTTTAGGGTAAACGTAATAAATTGTACCAAAAAGTATAATCTGGCTCTTTTACACATAACTTGATNGCCATCTCATTAAAAATTTTGTCAAAAAAAAAAAAAACCCTCATAACAGGCTTGTGCTTTGAGTTTTTAGTATAGACACACATTATCGCACGCCAAAGTGAAAAAGAAAGACTGTTTTTGTCTAACAGAGCGACTAACAACCTTGTCTTTATGAAGTGTCACCATTTTCATTGTTATTCTTTAAAGAATAGAGTAGATAAGCCATATTTACTCCAAATATATCTTCAAGCGAATTTTATTATTCCTTTTCGTTTTTAGGATAAACGTAATAAATTGTACCAAAAAGTATAATCTGGCTCTTTTACACATAACTTGATGTACCATAAAAGCGTTTGACTTTCTTCTGACATTTATGCAATGACTTTGAAAGAATAGTGACCTCCCTCCACAATCTATTTTAGGCTTGTACTCGCAAACACGTTTAAAATACCTAATTTCCCTATATAAAAGCACCAAGATATAAAAAATATAGTTGGCACAATTTCCCAAGAATGTTCTATCCTTACAATTGCAGCCTATGAAGTTCAAATGCTATGGCACAATCTCTCTCTCTTGCTTGTCTCTTTTGCATCATTTTTTATTTTGTAAGAAGCAAAAGCACAAAAAATTAATTAATGGTTGAAATCAGTAAGGGTGTCAAACGTATCGGGTTAAACGGTTATGTGTCGGATTAAACGGGTGATGGGTGAAAAATATGTAAATCTAAACATGACCCATTTAATAAACGGGTGAAAAATTTCAACACGAACACAAACCGTTTAATAAATGGATAACACGACACGACTCGTTTCACCCATTTAATTTTAATTTATTATTATATTTTCGTGACTATCACTAAAAATAATCTATACTACTCTAAAATATCTACATATCTTAAAACCATTTTTCTTCCACCTTTNAGTAAGGGTGTCAAACGTATCGGGTTAAACGGTTACGTGTCGGATTAAACGGGTGACGGGTGAAAAATATGTAAATCTAAACATGACCTGTTTAATAAACGGGTGAAAAATTTCAACACGAACACAAATCGTTTAATAAATAGGTAACACGACACGACTCGTTTCACCCATTTAATTTTAATTTATTATTATATTTTCGTGACTATCACTAAAAATAATCTATACTACTCTAAAATGTCTACATATCTTAAAACCATTTTTCTTCCACCTTTACCCTCTAACAATGCAAATATAATATTCTTATCCTTCAAAAATTAATTGCCTATTAAATCTAAATTATCACCTCTCCGCTAAACCTACTGGGTTCACAATCCTACTGTCGTTCGAATACATCTCTCTCTCTCACAGGCACATTCAATATTCAATAAAAAATAAATAGACACTCCCCTCATTTCATCTTCCCACTCTCCCTCACTCTCTCTTTAATTCCCTCTTAGGTGACTCTAAAGATTTTCAGGTTTCTCTCTACCGTGTAAAACAAGCCAATGGACGACTAAACATCAATACAAGCCTCAGTCGCTTCATCTCTCCCTCTATCAGTTTGACAGATTTCCATTTCTTAAGATTATTCTCAGAGTTTTTGTTGAATTTTGTGTTTGTATATCAACTTTTGGTTCTATAGCACATATCCCATGGTTTTCCCTACTTTATTTAGTTCCCCCACTGTGTTACTTGCANGCACATTCAATATTCAATAAAAAATAAACAGACACTCCCCTCATTTCATCTTCCCACTCTCCCTCACTCTCTCTTTAATTCCCTCTTAGGTGACTCTAAAGATTTTCAGGTTTCTCTCTACCGTGTAAAACAAGCCAATGGACGACTAAACATCAATACAAGCCTCAGTCGCTTCATCTCTCCCTCTATCAGTTTGACAGATTTCCATTTCTTAAGATTATTCTCAGAGTTTTTGTTGAATTTTGTGTTTGTATATCAACTTTTGGTTCTATAGCACATATCCCATGGTTTTCCCTACTTTATTTAGTTCCCCCACTGTGTTACTTGCATTATATTCCTTTATTCTCTGTCCCTTTTCATTATTGTTATCCATGGTAGGATGGTGATATTCTGTCTCTTTTTTACCGTTAGTTCTAATCAATTTATTGATAGGTTCATTTTCTTTAANGTTATCCATGGAAGGATGGTGATATTCCGTCTCTTTTTACAGTTAGTTCTAATCAATTTATTGATAGGTTCATTTTCTTTAACGAGTGAACCATTCATTATAAGGTAGAATTACTCAACCACATGTACGAGTGTGGGGTTTAGCTGATGTTTTACCAGCTGATTTGTTCTTTACAATAATTGCAGTTAGATGACAATCACAACTAAAGTTGTGGCTATAATTAATTTTCAAAAATATCACAGATTTCATTAAGCATTCATTATAAGCACCATGAGNTGCAAGATACTAGCTCTAAGGTTAGGAAGATTACTGCCTCGAGATCATTGCCAAATTGGTTTTGTTGAGCTAACACCAATTCAAACTCAAGGTTGCCAATGGCTTTAAAGGGTGTGGAAGTGTTGGCATTGCGGAGGCCAGTTTTGGAAAGACTCAAGGTCATTTGCTTTGGTTCATCTCATTTCCTCTAATTCATTTAGTNTATGGGTGTTTGGTTGGTTATAAGTTTTACTACTTTGATCTGGGTTTTAATATACTTTACGATTTATGAATATTTTAGACTTTTTCTTTCTTTAATGTGTTTT